TTGATCTCGAAGATGTCGAGGACAGCGAAACGCGGAGCAAAATCATCAATGACCTCAGAAAGGCAGCTGAGGAATGGGGTTTCTTTCAGATTGTGAACCATTCAGTTCCAGTTGGTGTGATGGATGATGTGCTGAAAGGCATTCGACGATTTCATGAGCAGCCCCAGGAAGCCAAGGAGGTGTGGTATTCGCGCGATTTCACGAAGAAGGTCAACTTCGTCAGTAATGCAGAATTCAAGGTGTCTCTTCCAGCTTGTTGGAGAGACACATTGTCTTGCAAGGTCCTAGAAGATGAGCATAACTTCGAGGCAATCCCTGAAATCTGCAGGTAAACAAGTAATGCTACACTCACCAATTATATTAACTTCTGTTAACTAACTTATATCTCCTTGTATCACTCAAATCTGAGCTCACTCTGAAATCTGTTTAAACACTGACGCGTTTATGTAATGAAAATAGAAGGAATTGAATTGCGGAAGAGTTGGAATGAAGAGAAATCAGAATCAGATTCTTATTGAAGCTGTTTACTTAAATATTCTGGAATCGGAATAGAAATGACATTAATTTCATAAAGTTGTTTACTAATTCAACAGAATCAGAATATAAACAAATATGATTACTAAAATGTCCTTGTCCCAAATCAAATATTTTATATACCTTTTCTAATAAAATTTGATATAATATATAATAGTAAGAAAAAATTTTAATATATAATCTTTTTATAAAATTTGTTATAATATGTAATAGTAATAAAATTTGATATAATATAAGATAGTAAAAAATGACAGTCTAGGGTTAATGGGTTTATAAAGGATAATCTCAGAAGAAAAAAAAAAAAAAAGAGTAAGTGATGGCATAAAGGAAACAAAAGTGTCATTCCGACTGCCTAAGCAATCAAGAATACAAATACCATGTTAATCTAAGAAATCCAAATCCTCCAAATTTTGGAATTGAATTCCAAAATTTTGTATGGGTCCCACCTTTTCTTTTATTCCCCAAGTTTAGTAAACAAGCATATACCCCGTAATTAGAATTCAATTTCATGTCTTAATTCTAATTACGGTTAGGTAAACGCATCCTAAATTATTTATTTTGCAGGGCGGAAATAAAAGAGTATATGAGGTACCTTGTTCAAGTGAAGGATAAACTTTCCAAATTAATTTCGGAAGCTTTAGGTCTAACCAGCGATTACCTTGACAACCTAAGGTGCTTCGAATCGAGGTCATTGGCATGCCACTATTATCCAGTTTGCCCAGAGCCCCATTTGACTCTCGGCGGACACAAGCACTCTGACCTCGGCTTCATCACCTTGCTCTTGCGAGCTAGTGAAGGCCTACAGTTACTTCATCAAAATGTTTGGATTGACGTTCAACCGGTGGAGGGAGCTTTGCTTGCCAATGTATCTGATATGCTGCAGGTACTGTAACTAATATAGCTATCTTTCCCTTATCTTTTATAGCCCTGTGTGCGTGATGGAGTACTAATAGGTCCATCTAAATGTTTATTTGCTGTACAGATCATTACTAATGGCAAGTTCAAGAGTGCAGAGCACAGAGTAGTACTTCCACCAACCCTCGAGCCCCTTACATCAATTGCATGTTTCATTGGTACAGACGACCTCCAAAAACCATACGGGCCGTTAAAGGAGCTTATATCCGAAAACAATCCACCAATTTACAAAGAAGTCGTTTTTGGAGAGTACGTGAAACGTTACAAACTATAGGTTTGAAGGGATAAGGATGGTAACTTTGTGCTTACTCACTTCAGTGTTTCTCTGAGACTCTGCTAGTTAAGTCACGAACCGTGGAAGTGTTATGGTTATGTTGCTGTGTTTCTTTTCACTTTTCGGTTCTTTTAGTAAAATTGTAATTTTCCTTTTTTCTGAAGTTCGGTACGGATGATCTTCTGATCATTTCCTCTCTCAATTGTATTAGAGGACAATACTACTAAGAACGTGTACTTCTACATCCGATATTTCGAGTTTGAATATATTGTTTAATCAGGATCAAGACACAACAAAAAAGAAAGCAATAAATGGCTATTTTTAGAGTAACTGTTCGGAAACAAGACAAATTATTCGGACACATTTCCCCCCTATAACTTGTACAGTGCCATGGGAAATTATTTGACTCAAAACCCTCCAAAATTATTGAAAATACATAATCAATCTAGTGTATGTGTGTATAAATGTATTTTGTATACCGTCTCTTCTTCCCGGACGTTTCTATTTGTGTGTTTTCGAACTGTGTTTAATTATTCCAACGTGGCAGTGGGACAGCAAACAACTTCATCAGACCATCCTTGCAGTTCTTGCCATCTTTTTCGCCACTGGCAAAGTAGTAAGGCCTCCACTGAGTCAGCTCGACCTTGAAGCCGTCGCCACCTCCCTCCGTCTGACTCGCCAGCAGCTTGGCTTTGCTGAAGTCGCAGGTTATGTAGCTCCACAGGTTAGGCAGTTGGTATACGCTATAGCCGGAATTTGCCTCGCTCGGTGGATCATATTTGAACACTGCAAAATAAACAACAATAATTGACGCATGCACGTAATAATCGAGCTATGACATCTGCTCTTTACTTAAAAAACTGATTTCGACATGGCATTGCTAATATGTTGACATTATTGTTGCAAACAAAATATAACATACTGATGCATTATCGATACAGTATCAATATGCTATTGACTATTGTAAATTTGTAATGAAAAAATGGTTGTCATACAGAAAGACTTTAACGCACATAAATCGTTAGAGGGTGCTAACCTAATTGGTCATTTTTGTAAAACGGGCTGTTTTGGAGAGCCCAATCAGTGTAGTTGAACCCGAAACGCCAGCCTTCGGACCCTCCAACGATGACAGTTCTGGCCTCGCTTACTGCCAATAGAGAGGCAGCAGCAAGGAGGAGGATGAACCCTTGTGCATTAGAACTCAAAGCCATTGTTACACCTTCGGTAATGTGCTTACGAAAAGTATACAAACTTGAATGTGTGAGAAGGTGATGAAAAAGATGAGAGAGTCGTGGGGTTTATATAGGAAATCAAAAGTGACTAGTACTGCTTCTTTCTCTTGGTTGGTGAAAATGTGAGGCTTTTGATTCAACTAATTCAGCATTTTCACATTTCCAAGTTCCAGAAGCTGAATTTTAAAACCCTTTTTCTCATTTGGAAATTACTGAATTGCCAACTTTCAGATTGCATCATAAGTTTTTCTCGTTAATTAACTGGTTGTGTGTTAACATAAACCGGAAAAGTGGAGGGGTAAAAGAGTAAAATTGATTGGCTGATGACAAGTGATTCTGGTCAGCGTAAATTTGGTGATTATCCATGAAGAGCAAGAATTTCATGTAATTGCTATTATTAGTGGCGCATTAACAGTTTAGAGACATTTGAAAGGTCGACCAAGGCAACGGAAGGCAAGCGTGGGTATGTTTTGAGAAGAGGATTCAACGACATTCTATAATGATACTACAATCTAGTAATAATTATATTCATTTGTAAGTGAGATGTCTTATATTTGAATTTCGTAGATAGCGAATTTCATACCTAATTATGTTGCTCATTTTGTAACTTAGCCGAACTCCCCCGTTCCTTTAGTATAAAATATATTTTTGTGCTAAAAAAATTATTCTATAATGGATAACCTTTTTAAAGTCATAATTTTTTTTACTTGGTATATGCTTTTGGTGGGTCAACTCGGCTTACAGTGGTTAGGAATGAAAAGATGAGGTTGTATTTCATCCATAATGCAAAATGAATTTAGGCGGGATAGGGGCATTGCGTCGCCTTGTGAATTGGAATAAACTTCATATTGTAATAAGTTATAATTTTTCTTGTCTCATCTAAAGGAAACACACCTCCATATTATTATATTATCGATGAGTACAAAAATAAGCAAAAAATAGAATATTTGGCACATAAGAAATCCGATTTATGAAATACAATATTCATTAAGGATAAATAAGTCAATCAATAATATTTCAGTTATGTATTAGAATAAACTTCATATTGTAATAAGTTATACTTTTTCTTGATCTCATCTTAAAGAAATACACCTCCACATAGTCATAATTGTACTAAGTAAAAAAATATGCAAGAAATAAAATACTTGATGTCCAAGGTATCCTCTTTGGAAAATACAATTCATTCCGAATAAATAATTTTCATTAATTACACCTCTATTAAGTAATAACCTCCCTAAAGTATAAATGGTCTGGTCCCAATTGTATTTAATTTTAGAAAGGTTTTACTGTATTTCAATCTTGCAGATGGCATTTTACTACAAATGATGGTGCTCCACTGATCTTTCCTCCTATAATAACTAACTATTTACCCTACTAACACTATTATTTTATATATATATATATATATATATCAATCCCCTCCCGTTGAGAAATTCCTCAAGTATATACACACACAAAGGATCAATAGCATTTTTAATTAAAAAATAAGAGTTTTTTTTTTTTTTTTTTTTTTTTTTTGCAAATGGTCCTGAAATTGACCTAAGCAATCAAGATAGTCTTTGAAGTTGAAAATCGATTCATGTAGTCTTAGAAATAGGTGAGCCAAATTAATGTGGTCCTTCTGTCACAATTATGTAAAAAAATGTTATGTTATGGGTTGATCTGGCACATAAATGGATCCCACAAGTCTTTTTTTTTTTTTTTTAATCACAAATGGTCCCTAAAATTGACCCACACCAAGATGGTCCTTGAAATAAAACATCGAGCAATGTAGTCCTAGAAATAGGTGTCTCAAATCAATGTGGTCATGCCGTTACAATTTTGTCAAAAATTATATTATGTAATGATATAGCACATAAATGGGTTTCACAAGATTTAAAGGGTTTTATCATAAATGATCTCTAAAATCGATAGTTAAATTCACACTTAACGTGCATAATAGTTGAATTCATTATATTAATCCAATGGTTATGATTTTGTTAAATATGAATAAATGCACCGATTTTCCTTTGACTAAAAAAAAAATATTACATGTAAAACCTCGGTATCAATGTCAATGTGTCACCCATTCTTGTTCGGGTAAGATTACACATATACCACATCGACAAATTTGCTAACAAATAAGTGGAAGACTTCTAGGAGGCGCCACAACTTGTGCGGATGAAATGCGTAACGAACTTTAACTGTTTTTCAAACCCAAAACGTCTTCTCCAACCGCCCAAAACCCTAAACCCTCAGAACCCACCATCCATAGTTGAAAAATTAAAGAAATGTTCGACTCCAACAGAGCTAGAAAGTGTATGTGCCTCAATGATCAAGACCAATGCCATCCAAGACTCTTTCTTTACGAACCAACTCATCACCGCCCTTTCGACTTTTTCCCACCTAGATTATGCAGTTTTAGCCTTCACCCAGATGGAAAATCCGAATGTTTTCGTCTACAATGCGATGATCAGAGGCTTTGTTCGTTGCGACCACCCATTTCAGGCTTTGAATTGTTACATCAATATGTTGAGGGACATGGTTTTGCCTAGCAGTTATACGTTTTCGCCGTTGATCAAGGCCTGCACCTCTCTGTCCGCATTGCGGGTTGGAGAGTCTGTTCATTGTCACATTTGGAGAAATGGGTTTGGCTCACATGTGTTTGTTCAGACTGCTTTGATTGATTTTTACTCGAAGTTGCGGCAAATAAGTGAATCCAGAAGGGTGTTCGATGAAATGCCTGAGAGAGACCCTTTTGCATGGACTACAATGGTTTCGTCTCACGCTCGAGTGGGGGATATGAGTTCGGCGAGGATATTATTCGATGAGATGACGGAGAAGAATGCAGCTACTTGGAATACAATGATTGACGGCTATGCAAGAGTAGGTGATGTAGAATCTGCAGAGTTGTTGTTTAATCAGATGCCAACTAGGGATATAATATCATGGACTACTATGATTGATTGTTATTCTCAGAACAAGAAATTTCGAGAAGCATTAGCAATTTTCGATGACATGAGGACTAATGGGATCAACCCTGATGAAGTGACCATGGCAACTGTTATTTCGGCTTGTGCCCATCTCGGAGCTCTTGACTTGGGAAAAGAGATACATCTTTACACGATGGAGAACAGATTTGATCTCGATGTTTATATTGGATCTGCACTGATTGATATGTATGCAAAGTGCGGGACATTGGAGAGGTCTCTTTTGGTTTTCTTTAAATTGCGGGATAAGAACCTGTTCTGCTGGAATGCAGCGATCGAAGGGCTCGCAGTTCATGGATATGCTAAAGAAGCACTAGCAATGTTCAGCAAGATGGAGAGAGAGAAGATCAAGCCAAATGGGGTTACTTTTGTAAGTGTTTTAAGTGCCTGCACTCATGCAGGACTTGTAGAAGAAGGCCGCAGGAGATTTTCAAGCATGATCCAGGATTATTCCATCTGTCCTGAAGTTGAGCACTATGGATGCATGGTGGTTCTGTTGAGCAAAGCCGGCATGCTTGAGAATGCACTAGCGTTGATAAGAAGCATGGAGTTTGAACCAAACTCTGTTATATGGGGTGCATTGTTAGGTGGATGCAAGCTTCATAAAAACTTGGAGATTGCTCAAGTTTGTATCAAGGAGTTGATGGTGTTGGAACCAAATGATAGCGGGTATTTCAACCTTTTGGTGAACATGTGCGCTGATGCGAAACGATGGGCAGAAGTTGCAGATATTCGATCAACCATGAAGGAACTTGGAGTTGAAAAGGGTTGTCCTGGGTCCAGTTGGATTGAAATGGAAAGGAAAGTTCATCAGTTTGCCGCATCTGATGAATCTCATTCAGCTTCTGCTGAAATTTACTCGTTGCTGGCAGATTTATATGTGCAGCTGAAACTTGATGTTTGTGTTCCTGAACTTGGCTCTGAGTTATAGCAGTGCAGTCTTTAAAACAAAATTGACATCCACAGGAAAATACGGTAATTCAAATATGTATACTCAGATTCTTTCCATCTTGTATCATTCAAATCTGAGTTCTTTTTTAAGTAATAAACACATACTCATTTCTAGCACAATAAACTTCATTACGAAATAGGAAATGAGTGTAAAATGCTCTCCCGGAAAACATTGGAGCAAGAATAACATGTTATTAACTTGGTAATTGGTGCATTGTATTATAGGAGTTTCATTTTTCATAATTCCAAAGTGATATTTGGAACAGAACGGCGTTTTCCTCTGCACTGTCACTAGGTTCAACTCAACGCGGTTTAAAATGAGGCAGGGCAGATCCACCATTTTTTCCATTGGCTCTGTAATATGCAGTATATTCTTCATGAAGGGTGTCCCTGTATATGGGTGGATTCCTTTCAGATAGAAGCTCCTTGATTGGCCTGTACAGTTTGAGTTTGTCCTTGGCACTAGGAACAAGAAAAGATGCAACTGATATTCGAGGCTTGACAAGCGGGTGGGTGAGTACTCTGTGTTCCACACTCTTGAACTTGTCTTTAGTAACGAGCTGTAGATACATACAATCACATGAAATATAAAGAGATCTCTACCTTTTTCTTTGTCTGATAAGATACAAGGTATTGAAGAAACTGTTTAACAACAGATTATCATACCTGCATAAAGTCACCAAGGTTTGCTACTAAAACTCCATCCACTGGCGGCACATGGACCCATTGGTTCTTATGAAGAAGTTAGAGCCCCCAATCTTGTCTTGCAGGAATAAGGTGAGAAAAAGGGGTCTGAGTGTTCGATTGTCCCAAGAGTCAAATCAGGCTCCGGGCAAACTGGGTGGTAGTGGCATGATAATGTGAAAGATTTCAAGCACCCCATCCCCGCTATGTGATCCGTGGTCTAATGCTTACGACAGTAGTTCAGAAAGCATATCCTGCAGTTTAATCAAGTTTTTGACGTGCTCACTCACTTCATTTCTGCAACACAGAAAATGATGAATTTGGTAAAGGTCAAGTTTACAGTATGTTACATGTATGTAAATATTATGACTGATGAGTTGGAAATGGCCCGTTTGGAATTGCTTCTCTAGAAAGCACTTCTGCGTATAAACACATTCTGAAGAAGCATCTGGAAGGTGCTTCTCCAGAAAGCGCGCTTTAGGCTGTTGGAAAATGCTTTTAGCCATTTTAAAAGCACTCCCAAACAGGCTCAAAATTTCTTAGAGCTGCTGCAGAAATTAAAGTATCTGCAGACTTGAGGAAGTGCTTCAAAGTCCCATTGATCCTCTACGGCTTTGAAGGACAAGGTGTCTCTCCAGTCTGCTGCTGATTTCGCTCGCACTTTCAAATCTCCACAGCAATAATAGTTCACATGCCGAGTATAGTCACGGGAGTACGATGCCCTCTTGGCCTCCGGGGGCTGCTCATGAAATCTTCTTATACCTTCCAGCATCTCCTCCATCACAGCAATTGGAACTCCATGGTTAACTATCTGAATACATGCCACCTTATCTGATCCTGAAATCCACGCTATTGAATAAATTGCTTTTTTTGGAAGTGCTTGTCCAGAAAAAGCCAAAACTTCCCTGCGAAAACTTCCCTTTTCTGTAAAACGGTGATGCGTAAGACCAAAACCAATATAAGGGAAAAGACTTTTTTCTCTCCTAACTTATATTACTGCATTGTTACGTCTCAAGATTGTGATATCAGAAAAAAGCTAAGGCTCAATATCTCATTTTCTTGGGAGTTAGTCTCTTTAGCAACCAATATATAATTTTGGTAGCATCGTATGTCTATAAATACTTGTCACATATAAAAAAAATGCACATGTCTGATAGGCACTACCACTTAGTTAACCGGTAGCGTCCATAGTCTATACGTACGTGCTAATGTTCAAAAAGTGTACCCGTTTGATAGACACCTACTACATAGCGAATAGGACGAGAATAGCACTCACTTTCTTGGCCTTTTCTTCAACCTAAAAGGTAACAATTTTAAAATTGGTAGGTGTCTCTTTGCTCCTTTTTTCTTTCAAATGGCTTCCTGATACATCTCGTTTTAATCACATCTTGCAGAGTCCGGAACACTTCGGCGACATCATTCCCTCCACAGCGAGGATGGAAGACGAGTCCTCGTATTACGACAGAACCAAGGAAGTGGAGTTCAATGAAACTAAAACCGGAGTTAAAGGCCTTGTGGACTCGGGGATCACAAAAGTTCCCAAGTTCCTCATCCATCCACCACATAGCCTTTCAAATTCAGAAACAACAGATGTAGACTTTAAGGTTCCTGTCATAGACTTCGACGGCTTTGATCAAGATTTTTGGCGCGCGCAGACTGTGAAGGAGATTCGTGAAGCATCTGAAACGTGGGGTTTCTTTCAAATGGTTAATCATGGAGTTCCAGAGAGAGTGATTGAGAATCTGTTGGAAGTGATTCGAGGGTTTCATGAGCAGCCGAAGGAGCTGAAGATGGAGTGGTATTTCTTGACTCGAAACGTAGAGTGAGATACTACTGCAATGGAGATCTGTTGGTGCAGAAAGCAGCGAATTGGAGAGACTCGATATTGTTTGATTTCCAGAACGGTCCATTGGACCCCGAGACATTTCCCTTCGTTTGCAGGTACCTCGCTAAACAAACTGTTCAAAGTATTAATACATACTGACAGTACGACAACATAACACACCGGGTAATCTTACGAGAGATTGGTTTGATTAGCAGAGAGGCAGTGCAGGAGTACATCAAACACTTAAAGAACCTGAGATAGGTGTTATCAGGTTTGTTGTCCAAGGCCTTGGGCCTCAGCACTGACTTCCTGGAAAACATAGAGTGCATGAAGACTGAACATCTGGTGTGCCATTACTACCCGAGCTGTCCAGAACCGGAGTTGACCCCCGGCACTACCAAGCATTCAGATCCATCCTCTTTAACTGTACTCTTGCAAGACAATCTCGGCGGCCTGCAAGTCCTCCATCAAGGTCACTGGGTTGATGTTCCTCCAACTCATGGAGCTCTTGTGGCCAACGTGGGTGATCTTACGCAAGTAAGCTCATCATCCTAATTCCTCAAAGATAACTTTTGCTGTTACGAATTCACACCTCCTATCTCTGTCTTTTTTGTGATCTCATCATCATTATACGTGTTAAGAAAGATACAAAAAGCGCGTCAAAATCACCCGAAGAGAGAGAAAGAGAAACAAAACTATCATCTTGCATGAGAACTCAGTTATTTTCGTTCAATTTATGTGCAGCTTATCACCAATGACAAGTTCAGAAGCGTCGAGCATAGAGTATTGGCTGGAAGAGTGGGGCCCAGGATATCAGCTGCATGCTTTATCTATCCGAGTGCTACAAAAAGATTCAAACCTATGGCCCAATCAAGGGGTTTCTCTCTGACAACCTACCTGCAGACAGGGAAACACACATTGGACAGTATCTTGCTTATTACAGATTAAAGGGATTAGATGGTAATTCTGCCCTTCCTCGTTTTAAATTGATAGAAGAGTAGTCAAGCCCAATTTTAGGGCCAGTTTTGGATCGTCGTGTTTTTTTTTTTTTTAAACTGCTTTTGCTGTACTTTAAGAATAAACAGTTTATAATAAAATAGTTGAGCATTTGATAAATTGTAGTTTTATGTATTTTGAGTATGAAAACCAGTGTAAATGTATTTGGTAAATTTTAATATAAAAAGTGATATAATTGTATACAATGCCGAAAATGGCCATGATAGTGTGGGCAACAACGACGACAATGGTGGTAAGGGCAATGGTTGTGATGGTGGTGGTGGTGGTGGTGGTGGTGGTGGTGCCAATAAAGGGGTGTGGTGGTTGGGCTATAGCCTGCAGAGGTAACAATGGTGGTAGGGGCGGAGACAACAACGATGGTGGCGGTTGTGATTGTGTTTATGATAATGGCAGTTATTGTAGTGGTATTGGTGGTGGCGCGATCATCGTGTGGTGATGGTGACAACAATGGTAATGGCTATAGTGGTGTGAGAGGTTAGGGTTTGTAATAGTAAGTGGTGATGGTCACTTTGTTCTCTAAGGTTACAATATGTCTACAAGGATAAATAATGTTATTTTTAAAAATTAATGAGCACATTACAGGAATTAAAAATACTTAGTACAAGCTCAACTCCATTTTTTTATTAAAGCTACTTTTAAAAACAACTTTCAGATTAGAGACAATTACTTTTAAAATAAGCAAGATATTTTATTTTGGGAATCGTTTTTTTCACTTCAAAAATTTCATTCTGCACTCCAAACTTTTTATAATTAAAAAGAAAATACACATATTTTTTAACTTTAAAATTAAGCAACTTTTAGTGAAAAAATAAAAATACAAACTAGTCCTTTGTCTTCTCATTTTAGCATTTTTTATCCAAAATAAAATTCCAATCTAAGGAGAGATTCTTAGGATGGGGGTTTCATGCCATGTTATTTCTCCGCACAAGAAACGCACAAAAGGAACTCTGGCATTCGGGACCTACACAAGCCAGTCCTGCATAGACATGGTACGAAAGCATGAAAATATTATATCTTTAAACTTTGTTTCATGATAATGTAGATGGTTAAAAGAGTACAAGTAATGCTCTCGACAAATGAATTGTTTCATTAGAACTGGATATAGAAAATATGCATTATTTACTGCTCAAAAGATTATTACTAAGTATCGCTCTACACAAATGACAGAAACTGCAACAGAAGAAATAAAGGGTGAAAAAATTTACAGACGATCAATAATCTACAAAACCACCCTGAAAGCGAGACAAAGTGTAACTATTGCGTAGAATTCTTGAGCTGCAAAATCTGAACAAGGGACCAGATGATATCTTTGTTCTGTTGTTTTGCCCGTGCAGTCATTCGGAATGAAAATATTGTAGGTCATGATAGTCAACAACAAATGCAGGCATACTAAATGGCAATCCAGTATGGTGGAAACACCAGATACAAATACAGGGACAGATGTAAACAGAGAACGGCTTTTGGTGAGGACTTTCCTTTCGAGAGTTTTTTCCTAGGTATGTGAGGGAGGTGAATCAAGGAAAAATCTTCGCGGATAAGAAGTGATGTATAAGTTTATAATTTCTAATATGATCCATCCCATAGACATCTATGAGATGAATCAGGTTAAAAATCATGAACTTGCTCATCCGCGAAGATTTCCGCAACATATTCTTCTTGAAAAGATCACAGAGCCCACTTGACCAGCACCTTCAGGCTCACGGCAAGATTCCTTGCCTCACACACCTGGAAAAAGCTCTCGAAAGGAAAGTCCTCACAAAAAGCCCCGTTCTCTGTTTACATTTGTACTGAGTACTGACAGATTCAAAGCTAGTATTAGCTGAAATCTTGTTTAGTTTTACATAATAAAGTTTGTTTCAATGGTTCAAAACTGAGAATTAAATAGCGAGTAATGCTAGCAAGACTAAATTTGCAAACTAAATTATGTGTCACCAATATAAATAAGCACGTTTATCAACGTTTAAGTAATAAACCAATTATCAACTTTCATGTCTTTTAGTTTTCAAAATTTTGTCTCAAAACTTAATCTCCCTAGCATTACTCATAAATAGCATATTAAAACTTGAGATAGAAAATAAATGTGTAATGCTAGGGAGACTAAATCTTGTAAACCAAATGACATGAAAATTGATGATTAGATTATTAGTTAAGTGTTGATTACCGTGCTTATTTCTAACACATCATTTAGTATGCATATTTAATCTACAAATTTAATCTACCTAGCATTACTAAAAATAAATTGCATAGTAGTAGCTTGAGTAATAGGCGTTAGAAGAGCATTGACTTAAAACAAGAAAACAAATACAATAATATTCAATTGCAAAGATGGCATGGGATTTACTCTTATCTTTGGTAATATTAAAGGGAAATAATATTAGAAAAATCAAGATACTCTTTTTTTTTGTTTTTTGGGAAATCAGGATATAGCATTATCCAGACAAAGATGCCAAAGTTTTACAAGAAGGCCTACACAGAGGCAAACAGCCAACTACCAATACTAGAAAATGGTAGTGCAAGGAGGTTACAAGATACCAAGACGCCGCACCTAATGCTAAAGCGTCCCTCCTCACACTACCATATACAATTGGTAGGGGCATGGAAAGCCATCATTACACAAAACATGAACAAGGGAGGATGGGGGTCTATTGACCCAAATATGATCACATACTTCCCTACAATGTCGTGAAGCCAAAAGGTCCATTGCTGAGTTGGCCGATCTTGGAACCCAAGACTAACGGCAATCATGAACCCCCCATCAAATAAAAGGGAACATTTCCCAACTGCCCTTCCTTGCCAAATCCTTTAGACAAGAAATAGATTCCAATGAATCAGACTCAACCATTATCAAATTCCAACCTCTGCTAATCCCCAATTTACATCCAAGCATAATAGACATCGCCTCCACCATTGCAACGCTTGTCACCTTCACTTTATACCTGCATGCTGCCAAAAACCTGCCATCCTCATCCCTTGCCACCACTTCTGTAAATCCCAGCCCATCCCTTGCAACCGAACTAGCATCAACATTTATCTTTACGAATCTCGAACTCAGTAAAGACCACCTGACACCAATATTTGTTTCCTAAGAACTAGGTACCAGTGAAGTGAGCGAGATTTATTTTGCCTCCTTGAAGGTTGTAGCCGAGTGTGAAATAGCAGCAATAACCTATGTTGGGTATATTTGTTGTTGGTTGAACTGAAAGTTACACCTTGATTTTCATATATGCCAGCATGTAAAGGCAATATATGAAAGCATGTGATTCCTCACCTCCTTCGAACCATTGGCTGACTCAAAAATTTGTAGCGGTCAGCTTGCCCAGGTTTTTATCTCAATCTGATTCATCCTTAAATTCAACCTTCCCCAAAACCAAACCACTTCCACCCACAAGCATTCAAGGAAAAGGTGTTCAATAGACTCATCCCACAACTGACAAATAGAGCACAGAGAAGATGGAGAAGAGTGTCATTGCTATAAATTTGCCATTATTCCAAGCACTGCATGAAGGGTCTTCCGCATGAAGCACCTAAGCTTTGGAGTGTGGGTTTGATTTTAGAGAGAGATAAAGCTAGGGTTTCTAAAGAGACGAGGGAGATAGGATGATTTGAGAGACCTCGGTGCTGGGCTCGAGGCTAGAGAGAGAAAGTTAGAGAGAAGCGGCAGAAATGTGAAACGAGGGGCTTGGATAGCTGAAAGTGGGTTTATACAGGCACAAGCTAGAATTCCTATTATTTTAAGAGTAAATTGTAGCAATGGTTCTTCAACCTTAATCTAATTAGAGCAATGGTCCCTTAACTAAAAATTCATTTCCATTGGTTTCTCATCTCATCAAAACATGTAGCTAAGGTCTTTTTTGTTAACTCTGTTAGAATTTCTGTCAAAATAAATCATGTGTCATGCACATGAGGCTAAATCAAATGGAAAATATGGATAATCAAATAAGAAAAATTGTATTAACGGTACCTCAGATTTAATCCAACTAAAGAAATGATCCCTTAACTTTAACCCAATTGGAGCATTGGTCCCTCAACTTTAACCCAATTGTAGCAATGGTCCTTCTAACATAACTCATTTTGACGGAGTTTACGAAATGACCATAGCTACACATTTTGATGAGTTAGGGCCCAATGGTAATGAATTTTTAGTTGAGAGACCATTACTCCAATTTGATTAAAGTTGAGGGATCATTAATACAATTTACTCTTTATTTTATGTTTTCTTTGTTAATTTATACTTTCTTTAATTTTTTTTCTTTATTTTCCTAGTTAATTTTTTTGTCTTTGTTAGCTATTTTAAGCTTTTAAGGTTTTAATATTTTTGTTTTGTTCTTTATTTTTCCACACCTTGAAGACGACGTGTGGTTTAAGTTTGGGGGTGAGAAAGTAATATCTTTAGTTTTTTTTAATTTTAGTGTCTATTAAGATTTTCATTCTTTTTAAGTTAATATCTATAGATTATTTTAAATGTTAAATGTAATAACCCGTCCCTAATTTTTCAATTTTATTAATTCTAAAAGAGTGAATTGACAAAAATGCCCCTAGAGGCGAGATTGTTGACTTTTGTTGATCGTCTTTTCATGACGTGTACGAGCTACTATTTTATTCTATCGATGGTACGAACTCATAGGTGCAAACGGAATCGAAATCAGAGTTACGATAGAGATTTTACAGAGAATCCGAAAAATACTTTTGTGAAAACTACTATTTTATATTTTATATATTTCTTATAATTATTATATTAAAAAATTTTAGAGGGATATTTTTAATTATTTTAATAATTTATTTTGGTTGTGGGGCCCACACCTCACAACTCTCCACTTCTCTCATGCCACGTGTCTACCTCCCCAGCTCTCTGGAAAACTTTCCCAAAGCGCTCTCTCTCTCTCCAGACCTTTCTCGCTCTCTCACTTCTCTCATCCTCCATCTGCAACCAC